TAGCCATAATAATAAAATGATTGCTATTTTATTTTTATCATTAATTTTTTATTATTATTTTTTAATTTCTTCATTCATTAAATATGTATATATCAATATTAATTTATAATGTCTAGAGGAATATTGTCCGAATTAAAATTTATAATATCTTGTAGAAAAAAAAGATGGTACTAAATATTTAATTTATTATATTTTGTTTTTTATGAGAAAAAAGTATTTATACTTTATTTAATTAATAAGCTTAATGTGAGAATTTTCTTTCTTATTATTTTCGTAAAATTCAAGGAAAAAAAAAAAGTTGAAATAGTCCACCAAACTCAACACTAAGACAACAAACGTCAGCGCATCGAAAGTCGAATTCTAGAAATTCAACAAAATAAAAACACCTCAGTTTTCTTTCTCGGAAGAAAAGTAAAATCTTGATTTTAAATTTTTCCTTTTCGTTTATTTTTTCCTTTTGCTTTTTCTTGCTAAAATCTTGAGGGAGATTTCTCGTACAGACGACGCAGAGATGAGTGAGATCTTGAGATGTAGATCGCTTCGTTATCTGCTGTTTTTCGCTTCTATTTTTCTACAATTCCTTTCAGGTTCTTCTCTTTCTTTTGTTTCTTGTTTTTTTTTTTAATTTTTAGATCTCTTATTTTTCAATTTGCTAATTGTTGAATCAGAACGACTGTTTTGATGTAAATTTTTTGTTTAATTTCATGAGAATTTGTTTATTCTAATCATATTATCGAAATTTCATCTGGCTGATCCCGTCTGATCACTTTCAGTTCTTTCTCATGGTTGCTGAGAATTATGCGAATGAGGATGTGGAACATTTCAAGTTTATTCTTATTTTCCTCGTAATGTAAAAGCTCAAGTTCTAACAGGAATGGGAAATTTGAAACTTAACCTTGTCTTTATGGAGGGGAAATTATGGGGAAAAGAAAAGAAAAGAAGAGAAGAAGAATTACTTGTATTCTTTGTTTTACGTTTGATTTGGTCGCATTTGTGGCTACTTTTATATGTAGTTAACCGGAATAGGTGATTTTTTGTGAGTACTCACTTTGGCAGAGATTCGTATAGATAAAAAACCATTATTCTTTTATGCAAAAGTAAGGAGCTAGTGACGATAAGGAGCTTTGAATGATTCTGAACATTAAGGATCTGGTTATTACTGTAGATTGTCCATAATCAGCAGCTTGTTTAGCAGAACATGGAGAGAAATTTATATTTTGTCGTTACATTAACATATATATTAGTCTAAATTTTTTCTGAAATGTAAGAGTGTCTTGGCATGTAGTTAGATTTTATGCATCATACCTTATTCTTTTATGATAATAAGAATTTAATGCTTAACTGTTTTACCTTTTAGAATTTTTTATAGCTGGAGTATTCCTCTTATATGCTGCTTTTGTTTTTGGGTCTCTTTTTATTGCCTCCTGTAAGGTTTTTCCGATGATTCAAAGAATTCAAACAGCGGTAAGAAGGCTGAGCCTCATGCTTCTTCAACCAAGACTGGAACCAAGGTGGTTATCATTCTACTTGGGGTTTTAGCACTATCGTTGTTTTCATTTTTCCTTTTCAAGCTATGGCAAAAGAAGAAGAGAGAAGAGCAATATGCTCGTCTTTTGAAGCTGTTTGAAGAGGATGATGAGCTCGAGGTTGAACTTGGCCTTCGGGATTGACATGTTGTAGCATTAAAGATTGGGGTCATGGTAGTTGAGGTGTGCTATCAACTTTCTTTCATTTTCTTCTTTCTAAGATTTTCCCGCTTTTCACATTTACACTTTTTATTTCGAAAAAAAAAAGATTTTGCTGCTTTTCTGTGTGCTCAGATGAGGTATAAAATGTTAATATCAGATATGTGACTTTCTCTTTGTTGCCTAACTTCATGGAGTTTTTCAGCCACATTTTGCATGCGAAATTTTGCCTTAAGATTCTATTAATGTGTCAAAAGAAATGCACATGATGACCATAGTCCAACAACTCATATTTTTCTGAAATTACATGCTTCCTAAAGTAAAACCTAAAAATTTCAGATTTATATTATCATAATTGATAATGTCTGATTGACTTGATTATGAAGACTTTACATTCTTAACCTGGTATTCACTGAAATGAGGAAAATTCTCCTTTGTGCTTATCCAGTGTCTGTTTATTTGAGTTTCCATTGTTCTATTGATTTTTCCACAAAGTCTTTGTATTTGAATTTGCTGGGGAAATTTTTTGTAGTTGTGTCCTTGGAATTCATACACTAGTTACCCATGCATTTTTTTTTAAAGGAGTATCATAAAATCAGAATTCTGTTGTCAATACTGGTTGAGTAATAGCAACCCTGTAATGTGAGTCCTTGGAACTTCCTTCCCTCCCTTACCACTAGGAATGGAAAATGAAGAAATGAAATGAAAGTAATGGTTTGCCGTTTTCTCTGGGGAACTAGTAAGGGAACACGAGTGGGAGACTAGGAACTGCAGTTAGGTTTATAGGGTACAGCCCAAAAAAGATTAGATTTAATTTTGCATGCTTTTGTTTTACATTTTTTTCTGTATTCTGCATGCTTTCATTTTACATTTTTCTGTAACTAACCTTCATCATGCTGGGTGTTGACAGCGGTTTCTTACTGCAGCAGATATCATTTTAGGCTAAAATGGAGTTTCTTTCTAGGAATGCACGTTCCTATGATGGCAGGATGTTGAAGATGTGAAATGATCTCCTGTGAGGTCAGATAGTTTTCAATCATAAGCCACTGTATTTGTATGATATGTTTAATTGAAATTCTTTCATGAATTTTGGAATCATTACCTGTTTAGAGTGCACAGTTGTAACATTTTTACCAGATATTTGAATAGTCTCTGATTCGCTGTATCTAAACACCAACTTATATGTATTTTTTCTATGATACTCTGATCATTGAAATGCTATCACTCTTGAGGATAATCTTGTAGTGAATTGGACTGATAGGAAAGGCATGTCTGCATTTCGTGGTTTTTTGGTTGCAATAGTTATATTCTGCTTCTAGAAGTTAGGTTGTTTAGTCAACGTTAAAATCATGGTTTATCTGTACTGACAGTGAGTCTGCATTATGCTTGCGCATGCATGATATTTAGACAATATGTGCTTCTGAGGGAGAATGAAAAAGAAAACTTGGAGGCACAATTTTATAGTTTTCATCTCGTATGCTCAATGAGCTGAAAAGTGTAATCTAAATATTGCTTGGATATGCTGTTTTAATCATGCACCAAAATGATGAGCTTTCCTAAATTCCAGTTCTTGGTGTAGATCGTATTATTTATGGCCCTTCGAACCTCTGCAAATGGATGTTTTTGACTTTTTTTCTATTCCCTGACCTTATCTCATGAAAACCGAACAAAAATGAAAAAATGAAAGTGGAGTTAAATTGCAATATGCCCTATTCTTCCCAAGAAAACGATTAGAATTGAATAAAGAGAATGCAAATGATTAAAATGAGAAATCTCACTGTCTATGACACTTTTCTGCTAATTTTCCACCAGATAAAAGGGCAGGATCTGCATCGTCTGGTAGATAATTAGTTACTATCGGTGTATTTTTAATAGTGAGGTAAAGTTTAGTTAGATTTGTTGTGGTAAGTTGTCTTCTGATGCAGGACAAGGTTAGGCATTTAGCAGGAATTATACTCGTAATTGAAGTAATAATCCTACCTACCTCCCCACTGTTCTCTCCAACCTGCTCCTTCCTTTGTCTTCTTTAACCATTAATACAACTATACATTATCATTTTTCTTTTAACAAAATGTCTTACAATAAATTGAAGCTTACACTACTAGAGGCATCTGCTTTTTTTTTTTTTTTTTTTTTTTTAATATGAAGTTTAAAAATAATTAGTGAAATTAACACTGGTAAAAAAGAGTGATACCCAAAGTTAATATTGTAAGTTAAAATTTTCTTTTGACATTCTTCTCTTGAAGAGAGGGGAAAATTTTCACTTTACTGTCACCCCGCCTAAGAATAGATAGCAAAGAGACCAGTCTACAATTCATGTGGCTAGTCTGCCATATATTTTAACCAGACAAGCAACTGTTTTGCTAATGTTGATATGGTAAGTACTTCTATTGATATTAGTACATTCATAAATAATTGTATGAGCTTATTTGTACGGTAACTTCTTTTATGGTCATTAATAAATTTATGAATGATTTGATTAATTTTATTGATCAGTATATTTCTTTTTTTCTGGTAGTAATCAAAAAATTTGTCCTCAAGAAGAATTTAGTCCAAGAAATATGCAGAGTAGTTACTCTCATTATTAAGTATCTCCTTTCAAATGCTGCTGTTTTTTTGGGGGTC